CATAAGTGGCTTCAACTGTATTTACTTTTCAAACTCAAATTATTCGCGGCAATTCTTAGGAACCTTGCTCGCGCAAATATGAAGGACCTCTTGTATTCTAAAAACAAGAGATACGAGATAGCCTTGGATGATTCAATTTATATTTGTGATGACATAACAAATCTTAGAGGCAAGTCGAACGAAAGTGGACAGCTGGATCAGAAAAATTTATTTTGCTGCCCCAGCAAATAATTTAACAAAATTTAGCATTAAAATATAGCCCAATAATTTTGCTACAGCAGCAAAATATCTTTTTCTGATCCAGCTGTGCACTTTTGTTGGACTCGTCTCCAAGATTTTTTTCAATCTATGCACAAGTTTTGTGTTATGATTCAGTATTTTTTCGTTATAGCTATAATTTGCAGCAGAGTTTGAATTCTATGAAAATGAAAGATATGTTTAAAAAAAGTGACAATGATTCTGCATACAAAAACATTTGTAAAATAATTCAAGATCATCAATTTTGTTTAGGGTAAATTTAATTTATTTGGGTTATAATTTTTTTGAGTTGCATGTTTGAGCTTTAAGATTTTTAATCAAATAAAAAATTCCTAATTTAGCAAAACATAAAAAAACTTTGACAATAAAATAAAATTTATTTTATAGATTATTCGATGAATTCAATTCTTGGAGAAGATTTTTTATTCTTACTGGAGCATTAGGAACTTGTACAAGTGGAATTATTGAAGGGTTCCTGGTAAAATTTAATTTCTTCATTTTAATAAACTAGAAAATAAAATTATTTACTTGTATAATTTCAATTTATCTCAGTCAGTAGTTTTTTTTAAATCCGATAAAGATTTTTCAATGAGAATGGCTTGCACATGTGCATTTACTATGATTACAGTCTTTACAGTTTGTTACTTATCGGAAAATATAAGTGAGGCTAGTAATAGTATTTACAAAAGTTGGTATGTTACAACCATTGATTTTTTTTCATTCGTTTTCATAATATGGAATATTAAACTATAATTTATTATTCATAATAATATTCAAAATTAATATAATCATACTTGTGGTGTTACATAACTTTACATCCATACTGTCTGTTACTTTATCCGATAATCTTCTTCCTTTTTTTTTGTTTTAAAATAGTAGAGGAATTTACTTTTAGCTTGGATGTTTCAGTTTAGGATTTGTATATTGTAAGAAGATCGTTATTTTTCTTTACAGCATATATCATAGCGAATTGTACAAGTATTCTTCCCAAACAAGACATTTACTGCAGTTTATGATGATAAGATCACTAAAACCTTGTACAGTGAATATTGGGCCAACCATGCCAGTAAACCACCAACTTTTCAGCCGGGTTATTTTCAATTATAATTATTTCTCACTAATCAATAAATTAACAAACTAATGGGGCTATACTTTACAGATTGTGAAGATCTATCTATCTTACATTACTGCATTGATATCAGTAGCCTCGATGTGAAGATGAAACTAATCAGATTATAGGTTTTTGGATTTTATTGACACTTTCGAACTAACCACAATAAATTAATCACTTAATTTATAATATATAACTATTAACATTTTGGATTTATTGTACAAATTTACAAGGGCATATTGCTTATTAGTTTTAACCATAAACTCTCAATTAAATTATATAGAATTGGTTTTTCCTGAAAAAAATCTAATTAGTAGTCAAGTGTTACTTGGTCAGTGAAATTTTTAAAAGAATTTCTAACGAACGGTCGGTATACATTACTTCAGCTCTCTATTTTGTTCGCTGCTTTTACCTCTTGAAGTTTCTGCTCTATGCATAATTTCACTGCTTCCTGAGAGAATTAATTTTTTTGATTGCACTTTTTTCATTGTTTCGACATATCACCTTTAGAAGGAGCACGACCGAAATTGTGTCACCCATAAACGTAACGACCAATTTTAGAGAATAAGTGCTTATTTTCATACTAAATACTATTCGACTATTCGTTTTCGATTTTCGTGTTTCTCTGGATGATGGCAGATTGTGATTAAACAACAAGTTTTTTGTGTCAATTGAAAAGAAGATTATTGTCAACTCGATTTCACCGAGAATCGGCCATACACAAACGCAGCATCTACAAATACAGCTGCATTCACGAGTGCGTGCGACTGTTGGCTGCATAAAGGCCAAAGTTAGCCCAAAGTTCCCTAATAATAAACATGCCTGCGCGTCTGGCAGTAATATGCTGTGTATAGAGCAAATGGTACGCGAGCAGCGCAAACGCAGGACACGATGTGGCATTCAGTCGTCGCCGTCGTCGTTGTGGGGGGTTGCTATATAGAGGAGCTTGCTGAAACTTACATATTATATTAAGCCAAAGCACTACACCCTGCACTGCAAAGCTTGTTTATCAAGTTTTAGCTCATTAACGCCGAGTCAGAGCTGTGCTGTAGCTGATGCTGCACTGAGCACAGGCGCCAGTCTAGTACAGCTCGACTGTTGCTGCATAGCGTCGCGCGAATCTCTGCTGCATCTCCTTTTATAATTACACGACTTTCTCGGATGCCGACGCAGGCAAATTTTTCTTTTCTTTTTTCATTTCTTGTCGTCGTCACCGTAGTCGTTGTGTTATATAAATAAGAGAAAAAAGATTAAATAAATACAAATAAAGTTGGAATCCTTCAACGTCCGTTCAAGCGACAATATACTTTTACATCGGTAAGCGTGAAAGTCGTTGCTATTAGATTCGGGGCTTGCTCGCGAGAAAAAGCGATGACAATTGGTTTCTTTTCCACACCCACCCCGAGATATTTACACGCATGGCGAATGTATAAGATATCGCGCGCCACCGTGTGTAACTAACCCGCGGGGCACTACTTTTCCAGGCTTCTTGTTCAAAATTTTCTCGTGCAACTTTGGGCGAGCACGCGTATATATGAGCAATTCTCTAAATGAAACGCATTTTTGGAGGTAGAATCGAGGCAAATTTTTTTTTCAACCTACGCGGATACGGACCCCCGGGAAATGTTTTTGGGGGTCCTAGGAACATGTAACCACGTAGGAACCATTGAAATTTCAATAGTGCTTACTTTTATAGCTACTTTTGTGATTTAGAGGACGAAAAATCATGTTTTCTCGTAAATGCGGCTAGTTACTCGATTTCCAAGTCGTTGAAAAAGTATCAAAACTCATCTAAAAAATTTAACTGACTACTGATATCGATAGGAAATTTTCTCAGCTTTCCAATGGTACTATTCGATTTTCCGAAATATTCAATTTTTACCGCGAAAATCGCCATCACACATTGAGGGCTAAATATGTCGAAAAATTCAGTACGGAAAAAGTGATCTTTGATGCCTATTTTTGATTTTTTCTGTTGGAAATGAGATTTTTCGGAAAATCTGACTGCACCATGAGAAAGCTGAGGAAATTTTCTATCGAAAGAATATCTTCATTTATTTTTTGACTCGAATTACAATGTTATACATGGGAATTTCTTTCACGTTGTTCGCTGTTTTTTGTTTCCGAGCTGATTCGGCGCGGTCGCGAGGTTTTCGGCTCGGTATAATCAAAACTAGCTCGTAAATTCCACTAAAAAAATAAATGAATATATGATTTCGATAGGAAATTTCCTCAGCTTTCTCATGGTGCCATCAGATTTTCCAAAAAATCTCATTTTCAACAGGAAAAATCAATAATAGACATCAAAGATCCCTTTTTCCGTACCGAGTTTTTCGAGATATTTAGTTTTGCACGTTTGATGGCGATTTTCTCGGCGAATGTGCGACTTATCGGAAAATCTGATACCACCATTGGAAAGTTGAGAAAATTTCCTATCGAACACAGTAGCCAGTTATTTTTTTTAGATGAGTCTTGATACTTTTTCAGCGACTTGGAAATCGAGTAATAAGTCGTATTTGCGTGAAAAGATGACTTTTCGTCCTCTAAATCACAAAAGTAGCTCTGAAAATAAGCACTATTGAAATTTCAATGGTTCCTACGTGGTTACACGTTCCTAGGACCCCCAAAAACAGTTCCCGGGGGTCCGTATCCGCGTAGGTTGAAAAAAAAATTTGCCGCGATTCTACCTCCAAAAATGCGTTTCATTTAGAGAATTGCTCATATACGTATGTTTATATAGCCAGAGGCCATAAGCTGCCACGCAGAGGGAGGCGTGAGAAAATACACACACCCTCTTATAATATAAATCCCCGTGCGCTTGGGCCGGTGTGCGTTTTCGCTCTCGCGACTTTCCATCTCTCGCGTAATGCATCGCTCGTCGAGCTGTTTATTTTCCGCGCTTCAAAGCTCGCTAGCTGAGCTGTATAGATATATATATATGTAAGCGCGTGCGACGCGCTCCAGTTTTTCTTCCGTCTTTTTTATAATTCGTCGCTCGCTCGGCCTCGACGCACTTTTCCATAATCGCCCCGCGCGAGCGAACGAGGTACAACGAGCGCGACTGCGTTATATAGCCCCTCGCGCGCACGCGGCAGCGGAGCAGATCATCGATTTTTAATACCGTATTATATTATGCTATACTCGCGCGGCATAAAACCCTAAACGATCGCGCGAGAGCGAGAAAAAAAAGCCGAGGAAGAATCTCCGCGTTCTCTTCTCTTTTAATGCGCGTCTCACGCCGCGCGATTCATCCATAATATATAATAAGCTCCGCACGCGCGCCACACATAGATAAGAGAGCTATTATATGGAGCTGCTCGCGCTGAGGTCGCATCGCGATGCTGATGCTGCTGCTGCTGCTAGGCGCTTGCAGCAGTGCCGCTGCTTGCCGCTCCACACCGAGCAACGAACTCGTAAATACCGGAAGATAGAGGAGCAAATAGAGAATCTATATGATTTTACGCGCGCAAGCTTAATATATGTAGAGCAAAGTCGTATAATAAATCAAATCGGCGCGAAGACGAGAGAAAGAGAGAGAGAGAAATCCGTCACGCGCCCGCCTGCGTTTATCGCCTTCCAGAGATTTGTTAACTATTATAAAACGTCTCTCTCTCTCTCTCTCTTACTCGTCTTCAAGTAATTTATTTTATATATAAAAGACGCGAAACTTTAACTAGATGCCAGCAGAAACGCTCGCAGTACGTGACGGATTTGTAGTGCTTCGAGCAAGATTGGCCTCGGAAAATTTAAGTCTATAATAATTATAATAATAATAATAATAATGGCCAAGCCCGCTGCCGCTGCTCCTGCTGCCGTCACGGATCAGGGACGGAGCGACAATAATTGCTGCGTTGAGAAGAAGACGTTCTGGTCGCAGCATTTAGCCAGCGTAACGCGTGAGAATTATTACATTGCATATTTCGAGAAATTGAATCTTTTTGATTTAAATCCTTTCTACCATTTCGCAAGTGAGTCTCATAATGTTCCTCGTCGGTCTCGCCAACGGATGGTCTTCGCCCTACTTGGCCAAGCTGTCGCTGCAGGAGAGCACCGACGGCATAGCGAAGCTCACCAGCGAGCAGCTCACGTGGCTCGCATCCCTCATGAACATCGCACGCATATTCGGCGCCTGTGCCGGTGCCGTAGCTCAAGGTATAATACATTAGTTTACAAAAAAATATTATTACTATTATTATTATTATTATTATTATTATTATTATTTATTACTCATTAACTCTTTTTATTATTATTACGCCACACTCTGCGCAGACACCGTGGGACGCAAGATGTCGCTGTGCTTCGCCGGTCTGCCGATGCTCGGCGGCTGGCTCTGCGTCGCCACGGCCTCGAGGGTGGAGTGGCTGTACGCCGCGCGGGCCTGCTGCGGTTTCGCCATGGGCATGATCTGGACGACGCTGTCGCTCTACCTGGCGGAGATCGCCGATCCCGAGATACGCGGCTCATTGGCTAGCATCACGCATTATTTATTTATTATTATTACTAAAACCAATTCTATCCTCGCTTGCCTCGCGAAGATTATTATATTAATTTCTCCGTGTATCGCTGGTCGAAGACGATGTGTCGATAGATCGTGCAACCTGTGAAATCGGAAAATCACGCGACTCGAAAATATACGATGTTTGATGTGCGATTTGCTTGCGCGAAGCTTTTCACTGCCACGCGCACGAGCGATCTTATCTCGAAACACCCGATCTTCGACCTTCGATTATCTCTCGCGTGTTTTACGCTCGAACGAATTTTCATATGTACAATACGAACTGCGATAGAAGAGACACGCGCGCACGCACACACCCCCAATGGTCCAACGATAGCTCTCGTATCTCTAACAGCCCCTGTGTACCCCCCTCTCCAACAATGAACAGGTACTGTGGAACATATCTGCACAGTCGATCGGTTTGTTCCTCGGAAATCTGATGGGACCTTATATTTCCATGAAGATCTTCGGCTACGTGGCGATCAGCTTCAATCTGCTGTTTCTGCTGCTGTTCCCGCTGGTGCCGGACTCGCCCTATCGCTACATCACGATCGGCAGGCTGGACAAGGCCGAGGCCTCGCTGGCCTGGCTGAGGCGCCGGGCCGACGTCAAGGCCGAGCTGCAGCAGCTCCAGGACTACGTGGAGAGCTCGAGGGTCTCGTTGCTCGAGAGGATGCGCGAGTTCAAGGATCCCAGTGAGTTGGCGCGTGCCTCAAGATCCGCGCGCTTTAATCGAGCCCTGAATTTCCTATCTCTCGCTTTGTTCGCAGTTTACATGAAGAGCTTCCTGATGATGTTCATGATCAACATATTCAGCTACTTCGGCGCGTACAACGTCACCAACAACTACATGGAGATCATCATCACGTCGAGCCGAGTGAGCATCGAAGCCAGCACCATCGTCACCAGCATCCAGGGCTGCTCCATCGTCTCGGGTCTGCTGGCCACGTTTCGGGTCGATCGCTACGGCCGTCGCTTCCTGCTGATCGCCTCGAGCCTCGGCATGGCCCTGTCCCTCACCAGCCTCGGCGTGCACTTTCTCCTGCTGCGTCGCTTCGACTTCGACCCGGCTTGGCTCACGTGGCTGCCCTGCCTCTGCCTGCTCTGCTACAGCATGTCCTACACGGCGGGCTGCGGCTGCATACCCAGCGCCCTGGTGGGCGAGCTGTTCTCGCCGCGCTTGAAGACCCTGGCCAGCCTCGTGTTCAGCGCCACCTCGGCCGTCTTCTCGTCGCTCTCGACCATGACGTTTCTGCCGTTCCTCGAGCTCGTCGGGCCCGCGGCTCTCTTCTGGTTCTACTCGGCCGGCATTTACGCGTCCATCGTGTATTACTACTACTACGTGCCCGAGACAATGGGAAAGAGTCTGCAGGACATACAGAAGGAGCCGGACAAATAATGGACAACGAGTGCGGTTCGCTCGCGGATCCATGGCTATCTCTGCCGTCGTAATCATGTACAATTAACCAATGTGATATTAGTTAAGCTTTAAGCCATGAATGTAATGATATTTTACCCGTAATAAAGTATTAATTGATTCGGCGATTCGTTTATTTACAAGTAACGATCTCACCGCTGACGCGTGGATTAAAAAATCAAGCTTTTCCGAAGTAGAAACGAAATTAATTAATCAGTGATTGATAAAAAAATTATTCGTAATCTTTTGATACTTTCCGGATCCAACTGTACTCAATTGAATCGCCAATTTTACGACGATCAACGATTTATCGATCGATCGCAAGAACTGATTGCTATATTAAGTACACGATTAAAAACGCTTATGTAAACTCCATATTGATAAACATTTACTCTCTTACATTTTTGCACCGAAGAAGTTTTCTAAAAAGCTAGATGTATTATTTTGTAGAAAACAACAAAAATTTGATCAAGCACTTGCCAATGTTAATCTGTTTATATGCTCAGTAATAAAAACGACTTTTCACTGCTCATTACTTTTATTGTGTGACTTATGACATTATTGATGTGCCATAAAAAGTTTTAAAAATAAGTGCGTTTAAAAATTCGTAGAATAATTGTAATAACATGATCTTTTGAACTAGAATGATAACAAGATGTAAATTACAAGATACAACACTAAGTATTAGTAAAAAGTTAGAATATAAAACATAAAATTGTTAGATAGTGCATAGTTTGAATAGATCTATATAGAGGATACTATTATAAACGAGATGAATATCCTTTGAAAGTATCGTCACGAACAACAATGTGAATTTTGAATTCACATCATTATTAATTACGCTTTAGCATAGCATATTGTGTGCAATTCCTAATACTTAATATAATACCAACTATTTTATCACACATTTTCAGTCGAGCACCGCAAATATACCACGTAAATTGAATTCAATTTTATAAAAATAAAATAGTAAATAATATAACGATCGTAAATTACTTCAATTGTAACATCTGCAATGATTTATCCAAGATTAACTTTGACTTTATGATAAGCATTGCACAGGAATCCTCTGAGGTTCCAGATATTTTTAAAGCTTTCTGGTTGAGTATTATATTGGGAGTCAACTGCTTTAACCCATATCTCGACCGATTTGTTCATTTTATCAACAGGAAGATTAAGACTCCAAAGGGTCCATGCATAATGTCTACCCTCTTTTGCATCAGGATCTTGAGCAACTAACTCAGCAATGTGCCAAGTCTCACCTTGATCAGCTGTGACATCAACTCGAATAATTTTCTTACCACCACCAGACCAAGCGTAACCTTGGAATGAAAAAGTTTGGGATAAATATGATGCAATTAAAAAGAGCTACTTTAACCTACCTTTCACAGGTATAGTTCCATCTTTGGCAACAGTAATTTTTTCATCCTTTTGAGGGCAACAAATAGCTGAAGTAACAGGCATTTCTTGAATGGCTGGTGCAGTTTTGAAATCGACATTATCCCAATTGATACTCGGCGAGAAACCTTTGTAATCGTTTTGTTGGAATTGCGAAGGACTTTCGTTTTTCGACAATATAATGCGATTAACCCACTTGACATTGCGAGCTCCCACAACACCAGGTACAATAACGCGCAGAGGATATCCATGATCCAATGGTATGTCTTCACCATTCATTTCATAAGCAAGTAATACGTCCGCACGGGGGTCTAAAGCTTTACTGATTGGAATGCTGGCACCATATGGTACCCCAGAAGGATCAATGTCCATACCTTCAAACTGAATATGGTTGTAATCTTCTTCTTTTACACCTATTTGTTTTAATCAAATGTTAAATTAAAAATATTTTACTAAAATTTCTCAAGGTAACATTAAAATTACCGAGATCCCGTAAAACATCGCTCAATTTAGCACCAGTCCAGCTAGCATTCCCAATAGCTCCAACATTCCAGCTCAAACCTTTCAATGGTTTTTCTGCTCCCATTTCAGATCGTCTGTTTCCTCCACACATAATAGCGCTTGTAATTGTATGTTGTGGATATTTCTTGATGTCTTCAATATTAAAAGTTTTCATAGTTTTTTCTTCAGCTGCCAACTCGAGTTCATAGTTTTCTTCATCTATGTAAGGTACTGGAAGATGATTTCTCACATAAAACACTTCTTTAGGTGTTATAAAGTTTTTTACAAGCATGGGTGGAGGTGGTTCAGCACAAAATGGTTTTTTCCCATTTATATGTAACATCTTAAATAAATGTTAAAAAATGTTTTACAATTAATAGCTAAATAAATAGTAATATTTTTCTAGTTATTTACTTGATTTCGAACAGGCTCCAAGGCATAAGGATCATAAATATCCTCATCTTTGTGCTTGTAAACATCCTCACTTCGTAGATTGCCAATTCTCATGGATTCTAGTAAGACTAAAATCTCATCCGTTTGGTGATTAGCGAAAATCATCCAGAATGGATCGATAGAGCCACCAGCAGCCATCATGATTTTGCTCTGGCCACCAGGATGTTTTCTAACAAAATCGGTGATATTGTAAACACCTTCTTTGTAAGAAACCCAAATCCCATTTATCAAATTATCATGTTCACTCACTTGCTGCATTGTATACGTTGGCAGTTCAGCTCTTCTCGCACCAGCTTCTCGTCCATTGCTAAGAAAAATTAAAAAAGTTTTGTTTTTATTTGTAATCACATTGCAGAAATGAATAAAATATTTACTTACTGAGAGTTTTGTATCTTGAATGCATGCACATTAATAAAGCTGCTGATGTTATTTTTAATATCATCTTTGTATAAATAGTATGTTATGCCTCCAGCAAGAGACAATAACACAGTTGTGACTTTTCCATACCTCCTTTTTTCAGACTGGTCATTGTGCTGATTAAACGATGATCTGCATCTTGACAATCCAATTGAAGTGGTTTCTAAACCTGTGGCTTGTAATTGGCTCAATAGACCTTTAAAAGAAGTCCTTGAAACTCGCTGCATAATATCTTGATTATGTAGGTAAAAACAAAAACAAAACTGAAACTTTAATAAATTTTTCCCTCAAACCCAATGAATATTTTAGAAACTTCAGTAAGTTTGATTTTTATTCTTCATCATCTGTATCGTTTTTCTTTATGCAATGGCCAGGGTGCGAGTTTCGCTGTTACCAGCCGACTGAGCGATGCCACAACACGAAACTGCATCAAAATAGAAAGATATAAATAAACTAGTTATTTATTTCATAAATAGCGAGAAGGAATGAGATAACAGATATCACTCGATGAAAATATTACCTTTTTTTTTCAATATTGTTTGCGATTACGAACGCTCCGACTTCGTTGTTTACTACTTGGCTTAGACTACTGGCTACCACTTATTTGCGCATCAGATTCCGCAATTTTATGACCGAACAGTATTGATATATAGATATAGTGACACTTGAGCCCATGTTGATGTTTTGCAGTTCGCTCGGATGAGTCGCGACACCTGCCGCCGCGCTCAGGACCTATACAGAGGAAAAATGCGAACTCCGAAATCATGTGATTTTCGAATTCGCGAAAAATAACTCGTCAAGTTCAGAGAGTATCGTGACTTGTTTATGTTTTAGTACGGTGCGCCGACGTCTGCTCTGCATCGCGCGACTGGCGTGCGAAGGCATGATACAAGTCTCGTCACTCGTCAGTCGGTCTCTTTTGGATAAGTTTTCTAAAATCCGCGTGGTTAGTATTGACATTTTTATTATCGTTTAATGTTTTTGTTGCAAGTGAATCTATTTATCACGGATATAAAAAATGATTGAAAATGAATGATTTGGTGTTTTTTATCTTATTCAAGTTGACAATGAATTTCTATACCGCTTGAAAGCCTCGCAGAATCTTTATAACCTCTTTCTAGTTACCGGAAAAATATGTTCATTAATACTAATCATTGATATTCTGTTATCCAATTTTGAATTTTATGTCTTGTCGATTATTGATAATGTTTAATTTTCACTCTATTCAGTTACCTAACCCTCTCCTTCACCTATGTTCACAGAGTAACACATGTATTAATGATTTTCATTATTTTAGCAAAATGCAGATCTTTGTCAAAACTTTAACTGGCAAGACCATTACTTTGGAAGTTGAAGCTTCTGATACTATTGAAAATGTCAAAGCTAAAATCCAAGACAAAGAGGGAATTCCTCCAGATCAGCAGAGGTTGATCTTCGCTGGTAAACAATTGGAAGATGGTCGCACTCTTCAAGATTATAATATACAAAAAGGTAAATATAGATTCTCTGGAATTTATAGCTTTGAAATATTTTACAAAATAAACATGAATTTTATTTTTTGCAGAATCTACCCTTCATCTAGTCCTCCGTCTGAGAGGAGGTGTTATCGAACCAACTCTTAGATTGTTAGCTCAAAAATACAACTGTGAGAAAATGATTTGCAGAAAGTGTTATGCAAGACTTCACCCTCGTGCAACTAATTGTCGTAAAAAGAAATGTGGACACACATCTAACTTGCGCCCAAAGAAGAAGTTGAAGTAGATGATGATACATATACTCATTTATTTAATCTATGTTAAGAACATTAAACGATTAAAATAAAATGCTTACTTTTCTTTATTAAGGAAAAAAAGTTGGTTTTATTCATTTTATATAATCAATTATTTTACAGATAATACATTTTTAAGATAATTGAACGAGTAAATAGTTTGAAAGTCATGCCTCATAGTTTCTTCTGATTTTCTGTAAAATAGTGTTTGTTTCTCACTGACTTACTCATTTATAGAAGTACTTTTGAGAAGTAAAAACCAAAACTCATTAAAAAATAATATTAACTATTACCTCCAGTTAAGATAAAAATTACTAAATTTGTCAATTAAAAATATGTCATTTCGCTGTCAGTATATGTATTTAGTGCTCTTCAGCTTATACCTATTTGAATTAAATACCAGCTCATTTAATTATTTTTCATAAAAAAATTTAGCCAAAACGGGGCTTAAATATATTACTTTTAAATGATGGATATTTTTTATACTTAAAATTTACAAGTGGAAATTGACTTGTATCATCTGAATCTACTTTTTCTTGTGCTCGAACAATGAAAAAAATAATGCATAAAATTATCGATAAAACGATTAGAATTACCGATTTGTCACATAGAATTCTTTCACAAAATTTATCCTGATTGCTATCATTGAAAGCTTCAAATTTTTCGTCAATTGCCTGAAAAATGTATAGTTTTAAATGAATCGATCAAAAAATTCGAAATAATATCAAATTCACTTTCGGTTTTTTTACCTCTTTCAACATCCTGTCAGATTCATCGTCATATCCAAGTTTTTTTTCTTTCTCAAAGTATTGAATTGCTTGATTATAGCAAACGTCATGTGCTAATTGAAATCTCTCATTTTTTAAGTAAGGCAAATTTGGGCCGCAAAAGGTATTCATCGATGCTTCGTACATATCCACAGCGTTTAGCATTGCAGGTAAATTGTATTTTATCTGAAGCAAATAAAATCATATTCTAATTGGGCTTTTTCAAAAATAAAGTATGTTATGGTTGATAAGGGTAAACTCACGGCGAGAATATTTCGAATTTTCAAAAGATCCAAATTTCGATAAAAGTGGATCCCATTTTTGAAATGTTCAAGTAACGAAGAAGCTGTGACAATGCTCGGACCAATCTTATTGATGTCAAGATTTTCTGGTGCTAGCAGCTTCGGCACCAAATTTTTGATCACTTGTTTACAATCGTTTCTTATTTCCGATAAAAGACCATTAAGTTTGATATTCTGAGCGATTTGATATCCACTATGCGGCATAAGAAAGCAAGAATATTCAGAAAAATAAGAATCTAGTTTTTCTTTTAAACAGATCAGCTCTTGATCTTGAATGTTTGAATATCCAAATGTATGCAGCAAATAATCACGACCTCCCTCGGCCCCATACTTGTACTCGTGAGGGTAAGGCCAGTCGCGTACGAGAAATTTCAATCTGTTAAAATAAAATAATACTTTTACATACGTGCAGAATATACAACAAAAACGGAAATATTTGAGATATGTATTACAAACCTTTGGCCAAATGTATCTCTGAATTGGTTTTCTGCAAGCTCTACATATTCCATAATAAAATGCAGTTGCTGCAAATTTTTTTTTCTGATACATTCAGGCAAAAAGAAGAGCTGCATAGACGACAATTTTGTGGTCAATGCAAATACGGAGGCACTTTGATGATCCGTAATCGAATGGCAACCGAAAAATCCCTGCGAATTCATCAATACGATGGCGATTTTTTCACCATTGGGCAATTCGGTTTTGAATACTTCAGACCAAATTTGTATGCCAATCTTCTTGTCATTGTTTTGCCAGGATACGCCTTCGAGTGGTTGCATCTCATCACCCATCCACTCTTCTGACCCATTTTTCAGTTTGTACTGTAAAATTTTGACGTATATTTTTCAAGCGATTATATTCAGTTTTTGAGAGGTTTAAAATTATTAATTAGGATTATAAACTGAAATAAATTGATCTATCGTAATCTATAATTTGAGAACTCAATATGTGACATGAAGTAAGATAAGCCATGCAAACGATTTTTTTCCGTTTTGCACAGCCGATTTTATTTTCAATTTTCAGTTTTCAGATGACATGAAATGAAATTTTTCTCAATTTTCTTTCGGTGTGCACTTACTTGACAATTCACGTAACGCAGAAAAAAATTAAGCAACAGATCTTTGGACCTGTCAAAGGGCCCTGCCATCGACACGATGATTAAGCGGCGATCCTTCAGGTCATCTTGATTTAGTAATCGAGTAAGCGATGCTTCGTCAAACACAAAAGAATGATCGGGTGAAGTTTTTACTATTTCGATCGGATGGCCCATCGTTGAAATGTATTATTAAAATAAAATGAATTTTTTTTAATAATAATTCCGCATATCGATTCACAAACGCAATTTGTTGACTACTACGATTGTTTTTCACCGGAGTACAAAGTATGGTAAAAAAATACGGTAAGATCTATTTCTTACGCAAAATTAGATTCTAAACTGTAGCTTAATATTTCTCACAACACTGCACTGAAGAATGGATTTTCTTCAGCTAATTTAATTTCACTTCTTAAAATTGTTTCTAAATTCCACTGATCAAAAGTCTTGACTCCTGCAGCGTGAGTACAAAGTAATAGTGAGTAAAGCTCTTACAGTAGTCTCATTTGGGTTGGATTTTTCTGTGTGATTCCCCTGTCTGACAATCAGTGAGTAAGGAGAGAAGTTCAAAATCATCTACCTCAGCACATAAGATAATTGATGATTACAGTAGTTTCATATTTCACACCATTGAAATGCATTTAAAGACTTCACAAAAGATAGATGTTCCTAAATGTCTGATTCGCATTTTTCCGAGATGTAAAATACTAAATTAATAAATGGCATTACGTAGCTCAACATTTATTCGATTGCTTTAAAAAAAAAAATGTGTTGGCACCGTTTAATTATTTACTCAGTTGATCATTAATCAAGATTTTGTTAAAAACTATGCAAATTTCCATTCCAAATCAAAACAATTTTTTTGTAAAGCATGTCATCACGCATTGTAAAAAAATAAATTCATTATGAAGAAAAAATTACTTTGTATCTTTTTTACGTATGTACATCATGCAAAGTACAAAGTAAGTGTTTAATAAAAAAATTTATGAAACTTAATATTGTAACTTTTATGACATCTTAAATAAGATGAATATCCTAGTTACTTACAGACATTACCCCCGAAGTTGAAAAATTTTCTCAAAATAACTTCTGGTAGCTAACAACGGTAATTCTTTAAATGGATTTATGCATGCAAGCGAAAAAGCTAGACTATTTTACCAAAAAGTCCAGTTCTTGTTCAAGCTTACAATTAAAAATCGTACGACTAAACATATTGATAAATTTTTTCTTAAAATTTAATATTTGTAAAAGGGAGAAAAATGTTATTTTAGACATGAATTGATTGTTCGGTTTTCCCCGAAATACGTACATATATTAGTCCGGGCCCTGAGGGGTTTCCGTGTCCATTTGCGATCCAAACGAAGGAACAATGGTTGCCAAAGTATGTGCTTTGGCTTGCGAAATCCGAATATGAAACTTGTTTTTACAAGAACATGTTTAAAAAAAAATTATTAACAGTTTTAGTTATAATTCTTTTGCTCAATTCATTTGTCTCTAGTCTTATTCCGAGCAATGAACAGATTGCGCATATTTTCACGTTCTTAAATTTTCAAAGAATTAGGTTAATAAAAGACTCCAATGAAATAAGAACAAATTGGACATGAAGACAAAACATCGTTATGATATTCTACGTCTGAAATACGACACGCCCGCCGACGCGAGATGTAGCCTTATTTTTTTCTCGCTCACTCGCTAACAATAAATAACAAATCAACAATAATTAACAATGATTAATTAACAATAAAATGAAATTTCCGCATGCACTTGGTAATGACGCCAAGGTGAGTCAACTAAAACCTACTATTTCCTATGTCAGTTAGTATTAATCCTCCACATAATTTTATAAAATAAATAGCAGTAAAATAATGATTTCCGTCTAAATGAAATTCAGTATGAAATGGCAAATATTTTACATGAGTTTGTTTCTCAAGAAAAATCCAATCTAATATTTTGAAATCAGTTAATAGGATTACCATGTACGTGAATACTATCGAAAACTATTTTTGCGATAATGATATGCATGAGAAAGTGGCGTATCCGTTTTAGACTCTATTTCATAACGAATATAATGAACCAATTGTCATTCTCCAAATCGATTCGTATGCATAGTGCATGTACCGTTCTTTTACATATGATTCTATTATCGGGCAGTGCTCATATTAACCCATTAACGCGCAAAAGTGCAATTTTGTGCATGAATTTTCCGTTGTAAAAAAATTATAGATAAAGTTAAAATATTTTCTTGAAAATCCATACCCAGGGGTTTTAGGTATGCTCTTTCAGTATCCGGTGTTATTTTTGCGATAAATAAATATTATCATCGTTTATTTTGCCATTAAAAACAAAAAACGTGATTTTTTGACTCAAAATTTGACTCGAAATGGTTTGGTTACATTTCCTGAAATTTCTTACACATATGAATAGCACTGTCAATAATATGTGGTTAAAATTTCAAGACCCTTTATCGATAGTCATTTTTTTGAGGGAACTACCTTAAGTCGTTATGCCTTTCCACCACAGAATTATAAAATATATTGAAATATCTAAATAATCGTCAAAGATGTACTTTTAATTATTTGATACAGTGTGACCCGGGATATATAGATTTTTGAAGTGTTATTTACAACAGCTATAAAGATAATTCATTAAAATATTAAAATCTCTAAAAAATAGTCAAAGTTACATTTGTTAATATTATCTGCCCATTAATCATGAAACAACTCATAGTCAATAGCAACACTCTGCTTATGCTGCACTCAGATTTTCAGTGCGAAATATCACTTTGCGTGCCCAGACCTTATTGGATTACATGTAAACAAAATCAATCGAACTTGTAGGACAGAGGCTTTAATGACTTTTTATAATATCCAATAAGGTCCGTATAATGTCCAATATAACAATTCTATTTTCTTCTGTATTTAATTTAAAAATGGGCAAATGCAACGATTTCTCATGCGTATACAAAAAAAATATCGCAAAATGGCACACGAGTTACGAATCGATAAAGAGCTCTAAATTTTCTGAAAATTGAATATTCTGAGTGTGAACTATTGTAGTACGGCGCAAGACCTTTCCGAATCACCGGACAGAAATTGGTTAAAATTTTTTTTCGCCAAGATCTCGTGGCTGACATGAAAACGAAATTTGAAACATATTTGAAACATAACCTCTATACGGCACTTCACTCAATTATCGATTTAAAAGAGGAATTTTTCGGGAAATCGGAAATTCTGATAGTGAACTATTGGAGTAGAGCTGCATACCTTTCTAAATCTTGCGTCAGAATTTCGATTGGTTAAGTATTCCCCGAGATCTCGTGGCTGACTCATGTTTGACAAAAATCGGAAAAGAACGTGTTTTCACGCTAAAAAAAATTTGGATGGCTCTATCTTTTTATCCAATCAACCAAATCATCTGAAAATTTGCATGAGTTCATTATTTTCAATTCCCTATCGAATGATACCTTTTTGGTAGCACTTCGAATACCAGAAGTACCCTAACTAGAACTACCTTTTTTTATTTCTCTCGTACAGACGTATAAAATAGGTGCGCCGCACCTAGCCGACATTTCTTAGCTAATAAGCCAATGGAATAAATTTATTTTAATAATTATATTTTTTTATAAACATAATTTTATGAAAATTATTGCATAAAAATTTTATTTTGAAAAATGTTTTTTTCCATGAAAATTTTTTAAAAAAAAATTTTTTTTGTACAATTTCTTCGCGAAAATTTTTTTTTTAATAATTTTTTTTAAAAAAATTTTTTAATAATTATTTTTTTTATACTTTGCCGGCTAGGTGCTACCGCACCTCTTGACTACAGCAATACATTACATTATAATTATTCATACTTACAATTCAACTTGACAATCTTACATTATAATACAATAATCAAGACACTCGCACTCGTCTTGAACTTAATATAAAAATTTTAATGCACATTGAAAAATGAATTATATTAGTTTTTATTGTTGAAAATGGTTTTTCTTTTACATTTAAAACAATTTTTTATTTTAATATTTTTGGAGAGTGTGAGGAAGTCAGACTGAAATTTTTTTCCTTTTGATATGAAAACCTTTTTAGAGGAGATGTGTCTATGAGTTAATGAAAATTTAATGCATGTGATTAATGTAATTGATGTTTGCAAATATTTAATTATGAGCATGAATTAATTTAAAAATGACACTCCAAAATTTGAATGCGTAATTTAAAGAATTCAGCTATACTTCAAAATTTATAAAATGTACTGAAAGTTTTCGTTTCATTATGTTGTAAGTTTCGCATCGATTTTGATTGAGACCCCCGGGCAAGTAGAGACATAAGCAAGGTTTTTTCATACTAATAATAACTTTACATGATCAAACGAAATTATCATTTCACTTTTCGTGATATGTACTGAAATAGTAGTTCCCATAAATGATCCCAAAAATTTGAAAATAAAAAATTTCAAATTTGCCTATAAATAATTGTCAGAATATTTTTGATTTCATTTCAAACATAGCTCATTAAGGTGATGCCGAAGCTCCGATTTTGACCGACCGAGCATTAACAGTGTAAATTTAAATAACTTTTTTACTAGATCAATTTTCGAAAAACGGCTCTGTGGAGTCCTCCGTATTGTCGCTATGAACAACTTCACCAAATTTCAGCCAATTTCATCGGTTAATTTTTCCGGAAAACAGGATCGAAATTTTCTGACTACTGTTTGCAGGATAAAAAATTCGCTCATATTTCGTTGAAATAACCTTTTTTCGGTATGTTATATAAATCGTTGGATTAAAATTAAAATATCTGTTATCAAATTCAAATGAGAGGAAAAAAGAGTTTTCGCGAGTAGCGAAAAACGCCAGTGCGCTGTATATAAGGAGGATCAAGTGGATAAGGATAGTGTACGCAGCAACTCTCTCTGCCATGCTTGCCAGAGCGAGCGCGAGCGCGCTCCTCGATCTCTGCATAAATAGTATAACAAACTAAAATTGCCATTTTCATAAAATTAATTGATAATTTTGATTTTATGAAATAAATTTGATAATTTTGATTTTTTTGTAATCGTTGCCTTAGGCTTGATTTATCATACACTGCTTCATTGATACTGCCATTGAACCAACTTACTTATAATCTGTAATCTTACAGATTATGAAATTTTACACACGCTGTTTCTCTCGATATGCAGCGTATAATGATCGGAAAGCTGCGATAAATGATACCGATCGCTTCATGACCTATAAAAATATTATTATTATTATATATCATTACGATTAGTAAATCGATCAACTTTTTACATTAGAATTGATCTACTTACTTCGCTGAACGATTCAAAATTCATATCGATCATTGGTCCAGCTCGAGCTTCAAAAGTTTTAATTGCCCTTGTCATTATGAACATTAAGTTGATTCTCATGCTTGGTCGGTAATTATACCAATTGGTGCAATAACTGTACGTTGCATATTAAAAAATGATATACAATTTGATAATTCAGTAATAATTATTATATCTCATTTTACCCTTGAGTAAAGAAATCGTTGCTGGCATTACTCATTAGTTGACTTGGAACACAAATGCACATGAAAGCTATCATCGCACAAGTATATGCGACCAACATTCTCGCGGCTCCATATATATTCGAATCGAATAAAATTACCATCTGCATATAAATTTAAAATACATCAAATGAAACTGTTCAATACCCTGCATGAATTTTAAAACTATTTGTTACTAAAAAAAACGTAGCACGAAGTTCATATTCATCATCATCACATATACTGATGTATGTGTAAGTTAAGGCGCCGGTACGCGTCGACGATAGATCAATTTGTAAACAAGCGCGTACGAAAATAAGAGAAAGGGATGTAACGGTTGTAGTTTGTAAGAACAATTAAAATAAATTTATACGAGAGCTTTTCGAGACTTCGACTCGAGAGCAGAGGAATTTAACCGTCTCTCTATACTATTTCCGAGACCTGTCCTTCCTTCTCCGGGCAACATCATCGCCGAAGACCGAACTGACTCTCAAGCTAGTTCTCATCAATACGAATGAAACATAATGAGTGTCATTTTTTATTGATCGTGATTTGGCAATTAATTTATTCTGACTGTAGGTGTTAATTATTTCAATATTTACCGCTGTCCCATCTAAAATGAAGTTGAACACAATTAACGTGAGTGTGGAAAAAAATATAAAACTCCCTGTAGAACACAGATGCTCATACAGTCTGGAACCCAAATAAACAAAAAGCACTGTGTGACAAGCAATTTTATGTCAGTGAATAAAAACTTTACTTCAAGATTTTTTAAATAAATATTTACATACTCAATACAAATTTGATGCTGATGAACTATCTCTTTCAGTTTTATGTAAATTAAATTGTTAGGTGGTTTTTCGACCCTGGCAATATTCGAATCATCTTGAACGTCTAATTCTTGTAAGCGACATCTAAAATAAAGATAAAACTAAAATATTTCAAGTATAATTATAAAATATAAGTTTAATATCCACGTGGAAGTCTGAAAAATACATCGATAACAAGCTCAAAAAACGGAATATTACGCCGTATTAGCTTGGCGATTTTTTTTTTATTTGTATAACAAATTTTTAACAAATTTTGGCCTTGTGTACTGATTTTTTAACTTATGCCATTATGAAAAGATGATAGTTTGGCACTTGTTTTGGAGCTTGTTATCGATGTATCTTTCAGACTTTTCAAGGGCATAAGTGGATAAATCAGGACGTATTATCGTTCACTGTCTGACGGTCTAATAGTGAAATTCCACAAAGAAAGAGATGAATTCTACGCGATTATTTGAAAGACGGTAACAAAACGTGAAATTTTCCCAATTATGTTTTTCAGCTGTTTCAAGTTGTCAGTCAATTATCTCTTCTCTCGCTCCTTAATTGTCAAGAAATAGTTGATTGCAAGAGTGGATTTTGATAAAAAAAACGTTTGGAAAGAATTCGTCGAAAAATATAGCTTTTAGAATTATGAAAAATATTTTAAAAAGAAAGAAAATCGAATCAATAGAATTAAAATAATATAATGTCATTCTAATAATCAAAGTATACTTAATGAAGGTAACATAAATTAGTGCGGAATGAGAAAAAGTTCGTCAGTAAAAAAATGATAAATAATTTTAAACGTACTGCAAACAACGGAGTTGACCATAGATAATTCCAATAGCCACACATTGGAAGTAGTGAAATAATAATGGAAACAAACAAACGAAATATGTGATTACAAACTGAAATGCAAAAATAAAATAGAAGTATTCATTTTCATCGATGAAAACTTCTAATTTGAGAGGTAATGATTTTTGATAAGTTTGATTTTGAGGCGAAATCCAAGTTAGAAATGTTGGTATAACTACTGGAGAGGCAGCATAGCTACCAACTAATGGAAACCACAGTACTGTAAACGTATCAAAATTATTCGTGAACCATGTTTGTGAAAAATAAAGTTTTTACCTAATAGATATTTTGTTAATGTAAAAGCTGTTCCAATTGTTTCAGTAAGTATTTGTTGTTGTGATGCACCATTGGTTTCGTATGTTCGTATAATTGTTGAGATAATGGCGATGAACTAAAAAATACATACACTTTTGTCACGGTGAAATTAAACTAATATTTAGTTTTAAAAAATATATTAATAATTTTCATTTCCAATAAAAAGAAAATAACCTTATCAGGATTTGTTATAAGATGAATATAAACTATCTTATAACATAACAGCAACGAAATTTGAATCAAACACTCTGCTAAACTGCTGATGTCGATGTTGACTTCTTTAGCTTCTTCGATTGCCTTAAGGGCCTGACGATCTTGAATTAAGGTAATTGTTCACGATATAATATGAAAATATAGTAATCTTACCGTACTAAGTGTGAGGACACACAAAAGAAAGATGATTAAAACTTTTCCGATCCTATGGATAAATTTATCTTGATTCGGGAATATGAAAAAAATCCGAAAAATTATATCAACTTGTGAGAATTGATTCAATTTTAATTTGTCTTTGAATTTTGAAGACAGTTCATCCTTATCCACGAATTTTTCATGATCCATCATTTTTTTTCAAAAAGCTTTCAAACGAAAGCTCGTTGGTACCGTGATCGTTGGCTCGTTGGTACTGGTGATACTTCAATCGTCTCATATTAGTCCAAATTGAAACAGACTGCATTAATGAAAAGTTGAAGTGATGTAAATTGAAGTTTAATGTTTCACATAAAGAATTCATCACTTCTGAATAAGTGCTTTTATGTATTAATTAATGCTTCTTTGATGCAAGTACATTCATAAATATTAATACTGATGAAGAAAAATGTAAAAAATTGATTCATAGAGTCGTAGATTTCTTATTACTTGCAGTCTTCATTATAATAGGGTATTTGTGCTACTTTACAAGCACTTCCTACTTCAAGACAATGCATAGTTACTGAAATAAACAATTGGAAACTACTAAAAAATTTTATAAATTTAATAATTAAAATATTACGTATATCATATAAAAATAAATTCGTGATATTGAATACACGAATATTTACTCGAAAACTAGACGTTCAATTTTTTAATCTAATAATTAATTCAAAGGGTTTAATTTTTTGGAAGTAAGTGCATCAACTCATCAGAAAGATTATCTCTTTTAATTCATTAAATATATCTTTTCTGATTTATAGGAGAATGCAATATTGGAACTTTACTGATTCGATTGGAAAATAACACCTTCAACTCATACAATTTTTATTCGAACTCATTTGAGGAACACAATCAAAATTTATTTTTGAAGTGGAAACGATGATTTTCAAGTTTGTAAAATATATTCTGCTAATCGTACTGAATATCTGTTTATTCAAAAGTTTAGATCAATTGCTTTCGATAAACACTCCAGTTTTTTGGAATGATAATTATGAATATAGGACCCTGAAAAATCGCTAATACGACATTTTGAAATGAAGAAAAATACGTGTATTGGACGTGACCAACTTTGATTCAAATATTGCTAACGCGTTATTCAAATTGAAACGTTATCAAGTTTGGGAATTTTGTTTTGTGAATTAGAATACACAAAAAGTTATATGGAACAATCATATATTTTATGTTCTTTGTTTTTACATAAAAAATGCCATTAGTATTATGTACAAATGATATAGCTAGTTCATTTGATTTCATTTTATATATTTTTGTAAGACGATTTTCATTGAGTGAAAAACTGTTTTAAATTTTACGTAAAAAGCGTATCAAATCTGTAGTTGGTTGCTGCATTGCAATCAATTAATATAAAATCATGCTTTCTATCAAAAAATTTGTGCTTTAAATTATTTGTCAAACATTATCATTTTGTGGTATTGCAAACAAGCCATACTCGTGGAAAAGTCTCACCATCGAACGCAAGTCAAAAATTGCATTACCGCTCAAAGGAAGCGATAATTCCTTTAAAATGTATGAAAATGAATCACATTAGATGAGTTATATATTTTACAAATATTACTTCGTTATAGTTAAAACATAGTCGATCTTTTGGCTTTCTTAGAAAGAACTCCATTAGTAACCTCATTAATATCCTGTTCTGGATTCATTTATTTAACAAAATCACCGAATTCTTTTATTTACAGAATGAACAAAGACTCCAATAACAATTGCACAAACTATCATCAAAGACGAATCAAAATGATCAAGTAATTGTAACGCTATTTTACCGAAAACTTGTCGTCACCTATCTTTCTTCATTTTATAAATATATGGCTAAAGTTATCACAAATTCTTAATTGCGCAAACCAAGTTTTCTGAAGTGTTGAAAAAATTTCAGTTTCACAGTGAGCATAGCGGCTTGAAAGTTTTTGCATTGTTCCACAACAACGCATTTAATCAAACTACCCATACTCTTGGCTCAACTTTCGTGTATAACATTGCATTACAATTTCTCTGCAACTTGACAATTGTATACAAAACAAAATTGTAATATTCGTGAAGTTTCAATGTGTAATTACGATTCTCTGCTGCCACCGCAGCACGAGCTTCGCGGTCGTGGCTGGTCACTTTCCATCGATTCGTCTTCGATGACAACGACATTGCGTCTTTGGCTATTGTTGCGTGTCAAGCTCGAGCGCATTTCAGCTTCTTGGGCTTGCTCCATCATGCGCTGCGTTAGGTCAAGGAACATTTCTTCAACATTGTGATTGAATTTGGCGGAAGTGTTATAATGCACCGCGCCGACTTGTCGCGCGTACCTGAAAAAAATAATTACACATCGTTGAAAGATTTAGCACTTGCCTTATGCGAAGAATAAAAAATTGACTTACTCTTCTGCCTCTTCGACCGAAACGTTTCTTTCTTTTTCTAAATCTATTTTATTGCCTGCTATCACCAGGCAAATTTCATTTCCTAGCATTTTCTTCAATTCTTTCACCCAACTTTTTACCTGAAAATTTTCAAATATAATTTTTTTGCGTGAAAAGCTTCAAAATGAGCTGAATTTTAATTCTCAGATACTATTACTTACTTTTTGAAATGTTTCTTCATCAGTTATATCATAAACTAATACGGCTCCATTAGACATTCTATAATAAATAGGCCCCAATGCATGGAATTTTTCTTGTCCTGCTGTGTCCCAAATTGCCAAGTTAACTCTTTTACTGTTAACATTTAATTTTTTTTTGAAAAATGAGGCCTGAAAACAAATTATTTAACATTAGAAACATCTAAGGATAATTTGTACATTAATTATGATTCACTCTACAGCAATAAAATGCTACAAAGATAAAACAGGTTCCTAAAAAACAGGATGAAACCAATAGCTACCTTATAAGTGCTCTTATATAAGTATACAGTTGTATAGTTCAAAGAAATAATTCATTGACAAATGAGTAGTAAAATAAAATTATTCATGTTTCAAACAAATGTTTATTATGCTGACTTTATTTTAAAAAAATCAATGAAAATAATAGTGAGCTCTGCTAAAAATTCTGAATTTATGTTTAAATTAATTGTATATAATATGATTGAAACCTAAATTTATCAAGTAATTTTTTTTTATATATACCAGTTATTATTTTTTCTTTAACACAATCATGCTTGTTACACTTGAATTTTGGCAAAATTAGTACCCAAGATAAAATAGAAATTAAAAATTTGTTAAATTAAATGATATCTATCTTTAAGTCTTCTGCAAGTAAATTCTTTCAAATTTTCTTTGAATCTTTTAAAGTCCCAATGAGTAACAATTAGATTGATTATTTTACGACAAACGGAGAAAAAAAATTATAATCAGATAAGACACCTCAATAATTGAGCTCACCTGTAACGTTGATATGTGTTTATCATTGAATTTATCTTCTACATATCTGAGCACGACCGAAGTCTTTCCAACGCAGCCTTCGCCCAGCAGAACGACCTTGAAATTGTAATTTCCCGTCGGATTCGATTCAGCCATCGTTACGATCTTCAATGAGAGAAGTATGGCTCGGCTTTTCAATCGAGTACCGTCGTCTTTGTTGTTGTTGTATAGCTGCTGCTTCTGCCACTGCGGTGCTAATGATCCATGCACTCGAAAGTAAAGTCAGCTGTTCAGCATCGTCCTCGACGGACGAACGTGTAAATATCTCAGCGGCAGTCGTTTATGTGTCTAAAGGATTAAAAACCAATACACTTAGCGAAAATCAGCGGTATCGAGTTTTTTTTGTGCGAATTACAGGTGTACGAGTTGTCACTTTGTTAGGTGCCGAGAGGCTGAGGCTGTTACTACTGCTGCTGCTGCTGCTGCTGCTATTGTCGGTGTTGCGTGCAAGCGCTGCAAAGACGACGACAATGACTATAAAAGCAGAGTCGGGAAAACACATGATTTGCGCCCATATCAATGAGTCAACGGTATACGTGACGGTTTCGCAGACGGTCCGACATATAATCTGCAAAAGCTGTGCTGGCTGCTGCTGTTGCTGTCTTCTGCTGGCCGCTGTAAACAAAGAAATTGACAGATTTCACACCGAGCAGACGATTCCAAAAGAAAACCCCATGACTTTTATCGTACGTCAACATCTCTTACTCGATGATCATCGCGATGTATCTTCGACTGAAAATCAGTCGAAATACGTCAGTTTCAAAATGAGTTTCTTGCTGCTACGCGGCGTATCCGCATTCCAACGTCAGATGGCGAGACAGGCCGAGATTCGCGTGCAAACATTTTTTCCTCGGACACATCGCAAATTCCGGAGCAAATGCCGTATATCGTGCAATGGCATCGCACTATGTCAATTAGTTGGATTTTGTCGAACTCGATCCTCCGCAACAATGAACTGCGGCAACGAACGAATTTCGTCTGTTATGCTGCGGCGGCAGTCAGCGATCGCCGCGTCAAATGTCCGCCGCGCAGGCAGGCAGGCCGACAGCGAAGCATGGGACAGAAGAAACATAATAATGTAAACATCGGGCCCGAGCTTAGAGCGGCTGACGTCCAGATGTCGCTGTCCGCGCGTAAACACACCGCCGTCGACCGCCGCAACAACGAGCGACGCGAGAGCCCGCGAGGAGGTCTCTGATTTGCCAAAATGTGTATACAATGTACAATACATACGTGTGGTGGTGCGTTGCGCGAGAGTCGAAGGCAGCCAAGCCTATACGAGGCTTCGTCGATTTTGACAATCCGTCCCGAGGCATTCAATAGTTGATATTGTGTCGTATCGCCGAAAAGTTTCAATATGCGTCCTCGCGCTCTGTAATAAAGTTCGACTTTACATTATTTAATAAACGTTCAAGTTCAATGTCTGTGCAGTGTGTGACTTTGAATTGTCATCGGGACGAATAATCCGTTGCCGAATTCGGCTCGTGCATACACATTACACAGTGAAATCGAAATTCGGCAAGAGGTCGACGACGAATCGCACGCGGTGTACCTGCTGGATAGGGACAAAAGCGAATCAGACGCGACACAGTCATTCGCGCTGAAAATAAGCAAACGAGCTCTCATCCTGGGAGTCAAGGAAAATTGTTTGATTGGTCGTCATCTGGAACGAATTGTGCGTGATACAGTTTGTCGATTTCATTGCAAAATACTGCACAGCAGCAGCAGCATCTCCGTCGCCAAATTTGTCAAGGTGAGTCAATTCGTTGATCGTAAATTTTCTTACACCCGCGTATTAGTTGAGACAAATCCGCGCGTACACCTATACATGACACATCGAAGTCGTGGTCAAATTCAAAATGTCACGTACCTGCAGGAACGCTGGTAGACGCTCGCGGGTACCATGCGGATAGGTCGTTAACTGTCGTGGCACAGTTGTATATAAGCAATCGGGAAAACTGCTTAAACGCCGTAGGTGGATCGAGAAAAAGGGTTGAGATTTTCCTGCCTATTGCTGCCGCTGAAACAGCTGTGCATAACGTTCGCTGCGAGTGACAGCCAGTTACGACCGTTCGTTCATTAACGTACGCATGATTTAGCACGCAACTCGTATGGCCTATAATGCGCGTGTGTGTGTGTGTGTGTGTGTGTGTGTGTGTGTGTGTGTGTACACTTGTATGATATTTCAAATTCAAATGTCTATTAGGCATACACACGCGAACACGGCAGAGCAGCATGAGTCGAGAGAGCGCGATTTACATTAGTGTAGCGGAGAAGTTGATTTTATCGCATCGCGCACGTAGTGAGGTAACAATAATGCTCGTTAACGGCGGCGCAGTGTCATTAACGGACGCTATTGTACCTGATTAATCGTCATTTTTATCGTTCCCAATACATAATCGTACGCTAAAAACTCATTAAGCCAAAAAAGTTAAAGAGGAGAAGGAAGGAGAGACGCGTAATCAAATTGAAACTTTCCCCTTCGGATTTTTACGTATTTATTTTACACTCGGTTACAAGGAGGGACACTGTCAAGTTCCCATAATATAACATATCGACGATCCGTCTGCTCCGTTTACTCTTTTTCTCCTGCGAGGGCATTATGTATACATAATCTGCCGCGTCCGATCTCTGCCTTCCATTGGTGCGAATCAAATAAAACAAGAGCGAGAGAGAGAGAGAGAGAGAGAACGATAAGGTTTATTTCGAGCAAAACTCCATCCTGTCGTGCCGTAATAATAACAATCGAAAACTATTTAGCCTACATGTGTCGTTTCCGATATAACATAAGTCAAGCACTGGAACGCTCGCCGCGTTCTATTTGCGTGCCAAAAAAAAAAAAATAAAATACACGCGCGCACTTTCACGCTACACGCGAAAATCTCTTTCCGCGCATGCAACCACTACAACCTGCTGCTGTTGAACATGGCCCTGATTTCAGCTGCAAATAAACTTTTTACGCGCTCGTTGCTTCTTATTCTATACGAGAAATCAGAAGCGTGTAATAAAAAATTCGAAGCGCCGAAGTCGCACCCGTACCGTGACGGTCAACAACAGCTGTCTTCTCTCGACGAACGTATATATATGGGTCATTCTCCTACTTTTTTAAAAAAGTGTGCGCGGCGGTATTTCAAAAAAATCTGAAAAAAAGATATGTTATTAAACAACATAAAAAAAGACTTTTCCTAAAGTTTCAGCCCGGAAAAAAATTTTTGGAGGTGCCAAGCGACAAATGAGTGTCGAAAAACGTGGTTTTTTTCGCTGTTTTTTGTCGATTTTCGAAAAATTCTACAAAGCGGAGTTTTGACTTTTCAGAGACGTAGTTGGGCTCATTTTTTTCGTCTGAAAAAGTACTTTTTGAAAAAAAATTGACCCCGAGGTTTTCGACGATAGCCACATCTCGAGCTTAATTCAAGTAAATAGCTAATTTTGTGGATTTCCAACAATATTCAAACGGCTCTACAGCAGTCAATTTTGAAGCAATTTAACTTTTGAAACCGGCAAATTAAAGGTCTTTTCAAGACCTTTAATTTGCTTTTTTCAGAATTTTGATTGCTTCAAAATTGACTGATATAGAGCCGTTTGAATATTGCTAAAAACCGCAAAAATCGCCATTTTTCGAGTTTTGTAATAGCTGAGGTTCGCTTGGAGAAACACCGATCGTTTCTAAACTTCGGGGTGTTTTTTGGTGTGCCAAAAGCTAAAAAATGGCGTAGGTTACGACCGGAATATTGCACCCTAGCTCCGTATAGCGGCATTTGAAATATTCAATTTTTTCCGATTTTCTATACTTTTATCCACCTAATACTCCCACGCTTTTTATTGTGTGGACATTAACAAAATACTGAAACATTTCCCCAATACTACTGCTTATTAAAAGCATCTCAAGACCTATCTTTTAAGACCCCTAGCGCCCTTATAGGTGCCTCAGAGCCAAATCTACAGCCAAATTAAGAATATAATCATTGACGAAGTTTAAAAATTGAATCGCGATTTCGAACTTAACTATACTAAATTATCCCTTAATTTCTACCAATTCTCAAAAAAAATTGAAAACATCATGTTCAACGTATTTTTCGACGAGGAATCCAATGGTGACCTTGGATTTGACCTTGAACAAAACCTCTGAGCTACAGCGAACCAAAATTGATTTTCCGTACCGTGACCCCCATTTTTTATTGCAGATTTGAAAAGAGCGGAAAATTTCACATTCGAATACACCTTTAGTTGTTTTTAAAATTATTGCTACAAGAAGATATTAATGGGAAACCTCGGATTACAAAAAATAAAGCAATAATTAATGTTATTTTAAGCTTATTTTCCACTGATAAATAGCATAAGGTAACATTTTGTCATTTTATATTGTTTACAATTTTTTTAAACTATAAGAATATTATTATTATAAAATTGTTAAATATTCATTAACAAATTTATTTAAAGAATGTTAGTGTTAATATTTTTTTAATAAAAGAATTTTTTTACAGAATTTATATTTTTTTTTTTTAAGCGCATTTGAATTTCGCGCGCTTTCGTGCGCACTGCATTGCTGCTGGCTGCTTCGAGTCGCACCCCAAAATTGACCATATAAAGTGGATTATCTTCTTAGAATGGTCAGCTACCCCTATTTTTTTTTACAGGAAACGATTCGTGAAACTCTAACGAATCAATTGATATAAATTTTTTGAGGATGTAGAATTTTTTACAAAAGTTATTAACGAAACAAAATCATTTCCTATACAAGTCCATGTTAAAATTGCAATTTTCGACAGCATTTTTCTCGGAAACGAGTTCAGCTACCCTCATTTTTTTTTCTTTCTACATAATTGTGAGGCTCTAACGAATTGATTGATATAACTTATATGAGGATGTAGAGTTTTTATCAATATCGAAAGAGCCTCCTTAAGGGTGATGTTGTACGCAAGAAGATTTTTATATAATCTAGAATAATGCTCATAAGAGGAATGGCCTAAAATGACCTTAAAAAAACAACTAAAGGTGTATTCGAATGTGAAATTTTCCGCTCTTTTCAAATCTGCAATAAAAAATGGGGGTCACCGTACGGAAAATCAATTTTGGTTCGCTGTAGCTCAGAGGTTTTGTTCAAGGTCAAATCCAAGGTCACCATTGGATTCCTCGTCGAAAAATACGTTGAACATGATGTTTTCAATTTTTTTTGAGAATTGGTAGAAATTAAGGGATAATTTAGTATAGTTAAGTTCGAAATCGCGATTCAATTTTTAAACTTCGTCAATGATTATATTCTTAATTTGGCTGTAGATTTGGCTCTGAGGCACCTATAAGGGCGCTAGGGGTCTTAAAAGATAGGTCTTGAGATGCTTTTAATAAGCAGTAGTATTGGGGAAATGTTTCAGTATTTTGTTAATGTCCACACAATAAAAAGCGTGGGAGTATTAGGTGGATAAAAGTATAGAAAATCGGAAAAAATTGAATATTTCAAATGCCGCTATACGGAGCTAGGGTGCAATATTCCGGTCGTAACCTACGCCATTTTTTAGCTTTTGGCACACCAAAAAACACCCCGAAGTTTAGAAACGATCGGTGTTTCTCCAAGCGAACCTCAGCTATTACAAAACTCGAAAAATGGCGATTTTTGCGGTTTTTAGCAATATTCAAACGGCTCTATATCAGTCAATTTTGAAGCAATCAAAATTCTGAAAAAAGCAAATTAAAGGTCTTGAAAAGACCTTTAATTTGCCGGTTTCAAAAGTTAAATTGCTTCAAAATTGACTGCTGTAGAGCCGTTTGAATATTGTTGGAAATCCACAAAATTAGCTATTTACTTGAATTAAGCTCGAGATGTGGCTATCGTCGAAAACCTCGGGGTCAATTTTTTTTCAAAAAGTACTTTTTCAGACGAAAAAAATGAGCCCAACTACGTCTCTGAAAAGTCAAAACTCCGCTTTGTAGAATTTTTCGAAAATCGACAAAAAACAGCGAAAAAAACCACGTTTTTCGACACTCATTTGTCGCTTGGCACCTCCAAAAATTTTTTTCCGGGCTGAAACTTTAGGAAAAGTCTTTTTTTATGTTGTTTAATAACATATCTTTTTTTCAGATTTTTTTGAAATACCGCCGCGCACACTTTTTTAAAAAAGTAGGAGAATGACCCATATACAAAAACATTCCTCTCCCCTCTTTCTGCGCTGCGGCCTGTCGCGCGCTCTCACACACGCATACTTTCAACTGACACTATACAAAAGTGCATGAGGCGCGCACATTGGCGCAGAAATCGGCCGGCCGCTTTTGCGCCTTTTGCACGAAGGTAGTAGTGGTATATAGTAGTTGTAGTAGTGCTGCTGCTGGTGGTGGTGGTAATGGTAGTGGCAAATGTATAGCATTTTATCGTGTGTATATGTGTGTACGCCAAACTGAAGCGCCGTCGCCGCCGCCACATACAGCCGCGCGTATATAGCGTTTTATTATATACCGCCACTTAAGCTTGTGTCGTTGTCTGACGCGGTGTGCGCTTGGCTGCTACTGCTGTACTTCTCTGTTGCTGCTTCGATTCAAGTTTACAATTACATACAATACGTATATACAAGCGAAGAAAAACGACGTGGAGCTGCACCGTTGCCGTAGCTGCCATAACGTGCGCCGCTGCACCTGCCCCGCATCGCACGAAAGCTTTTTCGAATATATTGACATACGACATCAACAGTGTGTGCGTCCTCTCCTCTCCGTTGTCGTCGTCGCCGCCGTGCGCTCAAAGTGTGAACACGAGTACATCGTAATTGAACCATATTTATAACGCGATTGATCGTGCGTGCACTTGTGTGAACAGTTCTAATTGATTGTAATACATAGTGCGCGAGTGCGTGTGTACTGCGCGGCGTTGACTCGCACCCGATTCAAAAAAACGCATCTCGTCTGACTTTCTCGACCCGTTGCGTCGAGCGTGTCGTAGTTCGTCACTAAGGCCACAAAGAGTCAGGGTAGTCTCCTTTTTTTTTAAATTCGAAAATAATGCGAGCTGCGGTATCATTCTCAGCAACAGCCTCGTCGACATTGCGCTCGGTCTTGTCCTTCGTCATTCCATCGGGCTCCGATGATGAGTTTCTCGTCCTCGAGACCTGTGCACTAGAACTGAGAGGAATTCGCCACAGGTAGAGACTCTAAATTTTTCGACACGTGATAAATTAGGAAAATAAAAAAAATTATTCTCCCCCCCTCGTTTTATCATCTGTTGCTTTCCTTTATTTTTTATATTTTTTTCGGTTTTTCGAATTGCCAACGCAACGCCAAATGCGAGTTCGACGATAAAAAAAAGTGCGTTACACGGCAGTTAAAGAAAAAGCATTGTGATCACGTACATAGATAGGAATGAAGTAAAGTAATTACAACGAAGAACGAAACGATTCGAAAAGACATTGGTTGGAATTCAAAATTTCGAGTGCTCGAGGAAAAGAAAAAGAACGCCGTCATCGATCGAAGAGACAGACACACAGACTCGCTCGTCCACGGAAGATTGAATCGAGTTTCTGATCAAGTAAGTACTTATCAACGAAATTGCGAATCCCTTATTTTTGAATGACAACTGCGCAGTACGCGACGACGAGCCCCCGGTACTTGTATTCCAAAAACATTCGTCGCGGACCATGCGCTTCTTCCGTGCATGATATAGGAGTAACTCAGTAGGGCCGAGCCCCCCGAAGCCTCCTTCTTGCTGCTAACTCGCCAGCTGTCATGGCTGTTGCTGTTTGCGAACGCGGCGCATTCAGAGGCAGCTTTCGCGCGCGCGCGCGCACACACAGACGGATCCTTTTGACTGCAGTATGGTGGTGTATATATATACCTATCTATACGTACGTATACGAATGCCGCGCGCTTTTCTTGCCGTCGCCGCGTCCTTTTAACGTCGACGTCGTCCTGACGAGCCTCTCTCTCTCGCGCGCGCACGCAGGAAGTTCGCGGCAACGGCAACAGTGCGTTTGGACGTGTGCCGTTGGTGCGTCTGTACCAGCGCGGGCGTGTATGTACACGCGATATGCAGGTTTGTTAGTATACAGTCGCTCGCATACTCCGAGTAGGCATGTAGCAGCAGCAGCAGCAGCAGCAACAATTCTTTGAGAGGCGAGCTACACGCCGTATACGGCAAAACAATCATGGCGACGGCCACTCGGGTAGCCACGCGACCGCCATGACTCCGATATATATACGCGACTGCGTGCGCGCCTCGTGCCCACTTTATAGACTCGCAATTCGCGACATCTGCAAATATCGTACCGTACAAGATGTGCACGCAGTCGCGCACAATTTTTCGATCGATTATTATATATATCAAGCGCGAGCGACCTGATTCTCGGCTCGTATGGTGTAGCATATAGGTTCGCGCCAGGTCCCGAAATTCCAGACCGCAAACGTTTATATACAATGCTCAACGCTGCAGGCCATGACGATATATATATAGTTGCATTAAACGCTTATATGGGAAATCAGGACAACAGGACAACATGTCTCGGCCGATGACGCGCTATACGCGCAGGTGGCATCGAGCTCGTACCTTCCCCGTGCTATACAATAAAACGCGATGACGTCTATTGCGTATAGCGCGCGCTACGGAGCATTTTGTGCCGTTGACGTTTACGTTATATTCTATATACACAACGCAACAAGCTGATCGACGCCGTCGTGCCGCTGCAGCGCTTGCATTATGTACATTTTCTCTCGTCGTCGTCGTCGTCGTCGTCGTCGTCGTCGTCGTCTCTCTATACTCTAGGCGCAGAGCGTCGTGACGCGCGTCGAAGGATTCTGCGTGTGACGTCATGGCGACGCGCGACGATAATGATAATAACAATGATGTGCTTATTATTATTACTATGGCAGCTTTCGGAGTTTGCAGCGCGCAGGAATCGAGCCAAGTGTATGGCCTGAATTTCGCGATTTGTCAGTGTCAAAAAAGATTTAAAAAGAGGAAGAGGGGGAAAAAAAGAGAAATTTTGAGGTGGGAACTTTTTTGCGCTTTCCGCTTGTCTATTGATTCATATATAATACATACGCACACAGCTCCAGCTTGGTAACCCGGCAAAAACTCGATATATATTTGAGAAATGAGATATCTATAAATACGAAGCGGATAAGTATGACAACTACTCCCCCATGACCTCGTTTTCGTTCTTACTTATATACTTACTTTTTTTTTAGGTACGCGATTTGTGTGTTAAGTATATATGCCAAAATGAAAAGAAACAAAAATTGCCAAGCTCTCGATGCCCCGTTATTATTTATCTATTGAGTCATCGTTTCATTTTTGAACTTGACTTTAAGCTAGTTTCGCTCTTCACGCTCTATGATTGTGCCATAATGAAATTTCGCAATTACGAAATAGATAAATTTCACGAATTAAATTCGCGAGAGTATGTATACACATCGATCGATGTATTATAAAAAAAGCTCGATTAACTTGCTTGTGTGTACGAACGTCACGCGGCATGTAAATGATTTCTTTCTCTCTCTATCTTTGTCTCTCTCGCGATCGATCGGAGTGTCATTGATCGGCAGCACGAGGAAACGCGATTGTTTTTATGCAACAACGACTCGGCCTTTTTTCGTTTTCTTTTTTTTTTTTTTGCTCGCTGACCATTTGGGAAAGCGCATTCTCCTCTCTCTCTCTCTGTCTTTGCGGCGAATATTCAATCGCGTAAGTCGCGCAAGTGATCGGCTGTATTTACGCTGAAATACTTGAATAATTCTTTTGGAACATCGATGTGCTACTGTAACATGCGGCTGTATTGGTAAAATCGACCGACCGATAAGTTTGACGCGAGCCGCAAGTGCTTGCGTAATCTCAACAATATATCGTCAAACTTGCGATTCGACTTTTTGCTACACCTAATCTGTGTGTATATTATAAAGTTCGACGATCGGGTGTCCTTAGTTCGAAGTCGAATTATAAATTTTGAACAATTATATAATCTTATTTTAACTTTTGCATTGAAAAATATCCGATCAAAGGTTATATTAAACAAAATAAAAAAAAAAAAGAATCAATCACTTCTCGAGTGTTTAAACGGCACGCCGATGACATAAATCTGCGTCTTTGTAAATCACGGGTCGAAACGAAGATTATACGAAGGCAGATTTATATTACGCACGTTGCTTACAAAAATAAACTTTGATGTATTGTCAACTGAAAATAAAACAGCGATATAAAAAAAATTTGTATAAATCGCGCGATACACCAGTAGAGAAAAAGAAACAAAATCAAATTCCAAACTCTTGGCTCTTATACTTATTTTAGGCTATAAACTTTATTTTGTTTATATATTTTTCGAACGAAATTCTCTCATTTGCATGTCGTAAAGAATAAAATCGCGCGATTAATTGTGTTTTTGCGTTATATCGAAAAAGATATTTCTTTCGTTTCGAGCCACGCAACAACAACAATAGCCCCGAACGAGATTAGCCGGAACGCAGAAATTGCATTTTCGGACTCATCGCCCCCGAAGTAAATACCACGCGATCGAAAAAAGAAAAAATATTAAAGGAAAGAAGACGAAGAACTTCAGTCGTGTCTCTTTCTCTTTCCAAGATTTCGAGCGACGCAGAAAGCGAAATTCAATTCGAAAACGAGAGAAGCAACAGCAGCATCGGCATCAGAGATCGTTAATCCATCTTCGCGTTGCCGCTGCCGCTGCTGCTGCAGAAAAGTATAAAAAAACAGCCTCAAGGATTTCGTGCTGTGCAGCAGTACGATGATACTTTGGGAGTCGACGCGCGACAAAGGCGAAACTTTTAAAAACGTCGTCTCGTGCGTGTGCGTAGTTTTTCGAAGATGATTTTTCGTTTCGTTATCCCTCGCGCGGGGCAGCAGCAGCAGCCTAAAGTTCCGTGTGCAGCTATTTTTGTACGAAGTGCAAAAGAAGGTCCCGCGTAGCGTGGCCCCTCTTGATATTTCATTATTATATACGCACACGATGATGTACACGTGAAGTTGAGAGATTTCTTCAAAACGATCTCTTGAAAGAGAGGCGATATTTTAATGTAACAATTATCGACACGATTTTACTATACTACGGTATACACGCAGCTGAAATAACAACAAAATTTAACGAGTCGATCCACGGCGCGCGGAACACTACCTATTAGCCAAACAGCTAATGAACCACAGTAGTTGAACGATCATGTCGTCGTTTCACGGTTTTATATAGCTATAATGTAGCAGTGGTAACTGTGAGGGAGGGGGCGCGCAGTTTGAGTAGGCATATTTTGGCAAGCTTGCAATATCGGTCTTATCGTTTACTCGCGCCGTTACAGCCTCCGCTAAATTTGCTCGAGCGAGTATTGTGAAATACGGTTCGCGCATCGTGTCGTTATGTGCACTTGCACTGTGAGCGTAATGGCACTCATTTCGCCAAACGGTCTCGTTCGGCTCGGCGGAGTGAGATCGTTTCATCGCCCGGCGGTAAAAGTACGGAAGGTACGTAGAGCCTCGTACGAATGATAATAAGCCAAATGTATAATGTACATATATCGCACGCACACATGGTGGTGGTGTACACGGCTATATCGAGGGCACGAGCGTGATATTTAAAAATTCTCGAGCCGCATCGTTTTCCCCTTCCTAAAAAGAGATATCCTCGGCGTGGGAGAATCTCAGCGGTATATGAAACCGGGCTCGGACCGATCGGCACTTGCTGCTAAAGCCGATCGTCAAAAAAAGCCGAAAAAAATCAATTTGGCGCATACCTACAGGATCAAGTTTGATTAGAGCCTCTCGTCTTTCGACACGCAGCAGCAGCAGCAGCAGGGCTCGCTCGAGAGCCGCGTTCATGCTGCGGCGCTGTTATACGGGAGACTTTCTCCGGCATGATATTGCAGGCAGAGAGACTTGGCAGCCGCCAGACTTTGGCGTGCGCGAAACGTGCCCGCTCCAGACTTTACTGTTATGTCAATATTCGGGCACGTACATGTAACATAACGCACGCATACACGCGCTAAAGAGAAGGAGATATAATGGCTGGGCCTTTATAAATATTTCGACGGTCTCGAATCGAGACGATGGGCCGCTTCGAGAGACTTCCAAAACCCGTTTTCCGAGATCCTTATGAGAGTCGTTTACGAGACTCGAGCTGCTCGGTGCGAAGACGACGACGACGACGACTATGCGGCGCATTTTTATATTTTACACTTAAGTAAGCTTCTCGTGCAGATCGCCGTTGATACGAAAATTTGCTAAAATGCGTTACATCTGCCGAGGCGCCTGATTTGTGTGTGTGCGTACGTGAGCTGTATATAACCTTGACACACTGCGCCGCCCGAGGAAAAAAGAAAAGGCAAAAGCGTCGAATACTAGCAGTTCGGTTTCTCTCTTTTATCCGTGACATTCGTACTTATATACCAGAGCTCGACTTCCTCTCTCTCTAGCGCAAAATGCGAAAATCTCTCGCGGTGTTCGCTCGCGCGAGCATTTCCTTGTGTCGGCAGCAGCAGCAGCAGCAGCAGTGACGCAACCGATCGCGTGCCGTTCATTTTAAAACTCGAAGAGAG